AAAAAAAGAAATACGTAAAAATAACATAATAATCGACTTCAAAGACATAAAAGTATTTGAATTAATTATATACGTGTCTCAGAATTTTAACAGCTCATCAGTGGTCTCTCTTATGCATAATCGATATTAGTGAGGGTGGAATGAGCACACTACGAACCAGTTTCCTTTATATTTATTTAATAAACACTGACGATGTGATCCTTTCTTTTTGAAAGGGCTATTATATTTATTTGCAAGATTTAAAGATTTTCGTAATTGCGCTTAAGAAAACTTAAGGGTTATTTAATGTCACCCGAAACTTAAACAGATATTTAATATCGATTTAATATTCAATAGAAATTTCCAATAAAAGTTTAGATGTGAGAACCTATAGGCCTAGAGGTTAACTGGTCGAGAAATAATCGTCTTTTTTATGTGAATTGCAGAATTGAGATAAGTAGGAACGATTTCTCAAAAATAGCTCCTATTCCTCTAGAGATCATAAATGTAATAATATTATCAAATCCAAAAATAGCATATATCCTATTAGAAGCCAGTCTAGGACTACGAAGAAAACAAGAAAATTATACCAATAATTTTTCTATGCATTGCAAAAAGGTTAATAAATTCCTAAAATTGCGAAGCACTATGAAAATAACTTATATATGATAACAGTCTTAGCTTATATTTGACAATGTGGTGCGTACTCACACAAAATTTGGTCTGACCAGGAATGTGGAGGTTAATAAATACTAATTGCCACGCTATAATAAATAATAAGCAAATAGCAGGAAGTGTTGTGCTATACTCTCAGAAGTTTGAAGTTAGATTTAGGCATATAACTCACATCTTGCAGAATCAGAATGCATACGTTTTTCACCGTCTAACAAGAAGTTATTAAGGCCATTCAAAAGAATACATTGAAGTTCGGCTGCAGCTTTCCCGATTAAAGCTGCACCATTACTGATGATGTCCCCAGTGCCATTTAGGCGGCCAGCAGTGAGAAGGCGTGAAAAAAAGCCCATGAGCCTTTCGGAGCGCAGCAGTTGGTCATGCCGATTGGCTAGAAAGCCAAGACCAGCAACCGACTTTTTGGCTAATTCCGGGTCGCGTGGTTCACACAACTCGGCCATTTTGGTTTGCGCTGTTCCACCGGTAAGAGGTTGAGTCAATGGTAATACAGAATACTCGGCAAAGAACATCAGTAAATCAAAGACGTCATCCAGTAGACTGGTGCTGGATTTACTCTATCCAGATAATGAAGGAGAATAAGAAGTTAATACTAATGTGCGAAAGGTTATCCAATTAAAGACAATAAAAGGGGATTGGAGGATGTCACTTTTATGAAATAAAAATAAAAAAGCTATAAAAGATAGCAATATTTTAAAAGAACTTAAGCATACATGCTATGATAAATTCTCTAATGTTTAAAACTAAGTTTT